CCCCACCGCTCTGCCCCTGCGGCTTGGCAGCGGTTTTCGAGGGTTACTGGCGGAAACAGGGGATGGGGGATGGAAATAATGCTGCTGGATTGGTGCTTGAGCATTGTTTTGCTCAAAGAGGCGCTTGAGAAGTAGGTTTTGTAGTTGGAAACGCTAGTAGTTAGACATCCAAGGCCTAGGAAGGAAAGACTACTCCAGAAATAATTAGCCTATGTGAAAGTTATGCTCAACGTATGTTATCTTATTTTTTAAAAAAAGTAATTTAACTCTTTAGATTACAGTGATCAAATGAAATTTTTTCTTTTGCAGCTTTCCATGTGTATTTTGTGGTTAACTTAGGGCCCCGACCACGCAGAGGGTACAGATAAAGGCAGTGCCTTTTTATTAAGCAAGCCACTGTAGTTGGAAAAAGTACTAAAGCTTTCAGGCACACTGAAGTAGGGCTGCTGTGCCCGAAGTCTTTTCTGATTTATTTATGTTTATGAGTTGTTTCATTGGAGGTATTACCTCTACTTGCAGATTTGGTTTCGATTAACATCCAAGACATATAGCTATATCCCCATTCAAGTAAAAAGTATCATCTTTTTTTACCCCTTTTTTATCACTTTTAGTATCACCTTTTTGGCACAGACAGCTCCATGGAAAACCGCACCGTCCCATCACTGCCGTTCGGGGCAGGGAAGGATGGAGGAGCCATGCGGTGGTGGCCGTGCCCCCTATGAGTGGTTGTGGACTTGCAGTGTCCCTGGCGCTGTAATGGCTCCGCCCCCGAGGAGCCAGCACCATCATTCTGAATTTGAAAAGCGATAGCTGCTCAGGGTGAAGAGCACCACCAGGAGCCTGCGTCACCTCGCAGTGCTCATGGTGTTTCTCACGAGGTTTGGCACTGGAAGAAAACATGAAGCTCGACATCAGTTTGGAGATGCAAGGTCCTGCACGCAGGTCGGGGCAACCCCCCTGTATCCTCACAGGCTGGGGGGTGAAGGGATGGAGAGCAGCCCTGCCCAGAGGGACCTGGGGGTGCTGGGGGTTTGGTTTCGATTAACATCCAAGACATATAGCTATATCCCCATTCAAGTAAAAAGTATCATCTTTTTTTACCCCTTTTTTATCACTTTTAGTATCACCTTTTTGGCACAGACAGCTTCATGGAAAACCGCACCGTCCCATCGCTGCCGTTCAGGGCAGGGAAGGATGGAAGAGCCATGCGGTGGTGGCCATGCCCCCTGTGAGTGGTTATGGACTTGCAGTGTCCCTGGCGCTGTAATGGCTCCGCACCCGAGGAGCCAGCACCATCATTCTGAATTTGAAAAGCGATAGCTGCTCAGGGTGAAGAGCACCACCAGGAGCCTGCGTCACCTCGCAGTGCTCATGGTGTTTCTCACGAGGTTTGGCACTGGAAGAAAACATGAAGCTCGACATCAGTTTGGAGATGCAAGGTCCTGCACGCAGGTCGGGGCAACCCCCCTGTATCCTCACAGGCTGGGGGGTGAAGGGATGGAGAGCAGCCCTGCCCAGAGGGACCTGGGGGTGCTGGGGGATGAAAGGCTGGACACAACCCGGCCATGGGCGCTGGCAGCCCAGAAGCCAACCCTACCCCGGGCTGCATCAGGAGAAGCGTGGCCCGCGCCGA